ACGCCGATAGACGCTCGCGATGCTTGCAACGCCTGGCCATGCTACCCACAATGCAGTTCGGCGAAGTTTGAAAATATCCTACGTCACCCCATTCAAATGAATGGGCGAAGCGTTGAAAGCATTTTTTGACGCCTGTAGTGTAGACGGGCCGTTAGGGTCTGTACAGTTTATACAGAATATGACTTTGAATTTTTAACTGCCTTTTAGAAAACCATTCTGTCTGTGGTTAATGTTGTGAATCTTGTTGAAAATCCATATGAATTTCTCCTGGATTACACCAGCTGTAAATATGTCCTCACTCTGAGAGATATTAAGTACCAAATGGTCCTAAAGATTATTCATCCAGAGCTTTGCAAACTTTAATTTCAATGTGTAGACTTCAAGAGTTGTCCGAAGCCAATTATTTGTATTGATTAGTTTATTTTTCTTTTGACTAAAGCGTGATTAATATTCCATCTGATTCCAATCATTCCTGTCCTGCTCTGTCATAACAGCGCTCCGGCAGCAGCACCCTTAAAGGAATGACGAGCGTCTCTTTGAAACCCTGTGACTGCTCTATAAACAGCACACAAAGAGGGTGTCCTTAAACTTTGACATGGACCCCGAACAATGGCGGTCGGATGCCGTGTCACAGCAGAAGCACTTGTGTAATACTGGTTTATAATATATCTGTCATCAGTGGAGCCTGCGGTCGGCTGCAGACGCTGCATTGTGAGGAAGCATTAAGAAGTGCATTGTTGTTGGCGTGAGCCTCAGAGTGAACACAGAGTGATGTGACGGAGTGCTTTGGTGCAACACATGTTCACATTAGCTCATCACTTCACAAAACAAAAGTAAAACTGACACGAACAATGCAAGACATTTACGTGCATTTATCATTTTGTGGAATCTGATTCTGCACATTGAATATTTAAGTCTCCCCCACTCTTGACTTATTGTTATTTTAGAGAGAGGTGCAGGATTGAGGCCCGAACACAGACATGAGTCAGCATTTTATATCTACATATCCAGTCAATGGTTTTCTAATGATGGTGTTGTTCCTTTATAGCCCAACATTAGCCTCCTCTAGCTTAGCGGTGGTGATGTGAAGTCATGCGACCGTGCTGTAGTTCCTTTATAGCCCAACATTAGCCTCCTTTAGCTTAGCGGTGGTGACGTGAAGTCATGTGACCGTGCTGTAGTTCCTTTATAGCCCAACATTAGCCACCTTTAGCTTAGCGATGGTGACGTGAAGTAATGTGACCGTGCTGTAGTTCCTTTATAGCCCAACATTAGCCACCTTTAGCTTAGCGGTGGTGACGTGAAGTCATGTGATCGTGCTGTAGTTCCTTTATAGCCCAACATTAGCCTCCTTTAGCTTAGCGGTGGTGACGTGAAGTCATGTGACCGTGCTGTAGTTCCTTTATAGCCCAACATTAGCCTCCTTTAGCTTAGCGGTGGTGACGTGAAGTCATGTGACCATGCTGTAGTTCCTTTATAGCCCAACATTAGCCACCTTTAGCTTAGCGATGGTGACGTGAAGTCATGCGACCGTGCTGTAGTTCCTTTATAGCCCAACATTAGCCTCCTTTAGCTTAGCGGTGGTGACGTGAAGTCATGTGACCGTGCTGTAGTTCCTTTATAGCCCAACATTAGCCTCCTTTAGCTTAGCGGTGGTGACGTGAAGTCATGTGACCGTGCTGTAGTTAATTTATAGCCCAACATTAGCCTCCTTTAGCTTAGCGGTGGTGACGTGAAGTCATGTGACCGTGCTGTAGTTCCTTTATAGGACAACATTACCCTCCTTTAGCTTAGCGGTGGTGACGTGAAGTCATGTGACCGTGCTGTAGTTCCTTTATAGGCCAACATTAGCCTCCTTTAGCTTAGCGGTGGTGACGTGAAGTCATGTGACCGTGCTGTAGTTCCTTTATAGCCCAACATTAGCCTCCTTTAGCTTAGCGGTGGTGACGTGAAGTCATGTGACCGTGCTGTAGTTCCTTTATAGGCCAACATTAGCCTCCTTTAGCTTAGCGTTGGTGACGTGAAGTCATGTGACCGTGCTGTAGTTCCTTTATAGCCCAACATTAGCCTCCTTTAGCTTAGCGGTGGTGACGTGAAGTCATGTGACCGTGCTGTAGTTCCTTTATAGGCCAACATTAGCCTCCTTTAGCTTAGCGGTGGTGACGTGAAGTCATGTGACCGTGCTGTAGTTCCTTTATAGGCCAACATTAGCCTCCTTTAGCTTAGCGGTGGTGACGTGAAGTCATGTGACCGTGCTGTAGTTCCTTTATAGCCCAACATTAGCCTCCTTTAGCTTAGTGGTGGTGACGTGAAGTCATGTGACCGTGCTGTAGTTCCTTTATAGCCCAACATTAGCCTCCTTTAGCTTAGCGGTGGTGACGTGAAGTCATGTGACCGTGCTGTAGTTCCTTTATAGCCCAACATTAGCCACCTTTAGCTTAGCGGTGGTGACGTGAAGTCATGTGACCGTGCTGTAGTTCCTTTATAGCCAAACATTAGCCTCCTTTAGCTTAGCGGCGGTGACGTGAAGTCATGTGACCGTGCTGTAGTTCCTTTATAGCCAAACATTAGCCTCCTTTAGCTTAGCGGTGGTGACGTGAAGTCATGTGACCGTGCTGTAGTTCCTTTATAGCCCAACATTAGCCACCTTTAGCTTAGCGGTGGTGACGTGAAGTCATGTGACCGTGCTGTAGTTCCTTTATAGCCCAACATTAGCCACCTTTAGCTTAGCGGTGGTGAAGTCATGTGACCGTGCTGTAGTTCCTTTATAGCCCAACATTAGCCACCTTTAGCTTAGCGGTGGTGACGTGAAGTCATGTGACCGTGCTGTAGTTCCTTTATAGCCCAACATTAGCCACCTTTAGCTTAGCGGTGGTGACGTGGAGTCATGTGACCGTGCTGTAGTTCCTTTATAGCCCAACATTAGTTTTTTACAACATTGGCAGCTTCTGGTTCACATTAGTGGCAATTGAAAGCATGATTTTGGTTCATAAAACACCAAATACCTGTGATTCGAACTTACATTTGATACTTAGATATGAATGACATTCCTGCAAACACTCCCCAATGCATTGTAGTGATCACTGGTTGACATAATTCACCACGGAACTGTGGGTTAGGGGTATTGTTTCCGCACGGACATGTGTTGCTACCTGTATATATTGTGTGCCCTCCTGGCTCTTCTTCCCCTTCTCTTCCCGGACTGCAACCGGACAACATGTGCTAATCTGCTCAATAAAGTCAGCTTTTGCACTTTCGATGCACCTATCTCTCGGCACTACATTGGTGGCCCTGACATAAGTCTGAACCGAACACGGCGAAGAACGCAGTTTTTCTCGAAATGCCGGGGATTTTTGGAAACGCCCGTGGCTGCATCGTGCGCACGGACTGAGGCTCGGTTCGCCCTCCGCGGGATGGCCGAGGATGACGCTCGTCATTTCCACATCGTTTCGGCACTGGGAGACAGCAAGCCTTCCGACCACATGGAAATGATGGACGACCTACCAGGTACGGAAGAACCCGACTTCTACCTCATGGAGCTGTTTCTTCGGGACATGCGGCTGCATGTCCAGGCTGCGCTAGCTAACACGGCTAGTGTTGAGCCCCGCGCTATAGCCGAAGAAGCTAGCCGATTCTTCCTGGCCGCCCAGCGATTTACCCCTGGGGTGCTGGCCACTACACGCAGCGGCACCTTCCCTGGTAGAGGCACGCCGCCTAGCAGCGGCTCCGGGGCCGACGACATCGTCTAACGGCTACTGGCTTACAGCTAGCGGCCGTCAACACCGGCTAACAGCTAACGGCTGGCAGCTACCGACGGCTAACAACGACAGCTAACAACAGCTAACGACAACTAACAGCTAACGACGGCAGCTACCGAGGAATACCAGCTAGCGGCTAACGACGACAGCTAATGACTAGCTGCTAATGGCTATCGACATCCATCGGTTGACATCCGACTGTTAACCCCTTTTTTTTTGTGGTGCCGGAGAGGAGGTTCGACCTAGTCTGGTTGGCCTCGTGTGGATCCTCTCACAATTTCGCCCATCTGTTTTTGATTGTGGACAGGACGAACCTTTTGAGCTTTTGAGCGTGCGTGCGTGCGTGCGTCCGTCCGTCCGTCCGTCCGTCCGTCCGTCCGTCCGTCCGAGCATTACTATACTTGTGGGGATCTAAATCTGTTTACACAGTCACGTGTGGGGACTCGCCTCCCTTATGGGGACAAATTGGAGGTCCCCATGAGGGGAATCATTCATTTTAGGGTGAAGACTTGGTTAGGTTTGGGTTAGGGTAAGGGTTAGGCATGTGTTGGTTATGGGATAAGTCTCCAGGAAATGCATGTAAGTCAATGTAATGTCCCTTGAAGTGATGTATACATGGTATGTGTGTGTTGCTGATAGTGTCGGGCTGCATTACTGCAGGCTTGGTTTCACGGGCGACGGACTGTGTGATAAACACAGGCTGAGCGGGTTTCTCTCTGACCCCAGCAAGGCACACCCTGGGTGGGCTGTGGTAACCCGTCGCCTCGACCTGCGGTTCCTCATCCCTGGGGCTCATCGAGGATATAAAACAGAAAATTCAATGTGTTGGAGCAGTGTGTGTGTGACTGTTTGTTTGTACGACGGGGGTAAAAGTGTGCTTATGTCCCTTGTATTGAACTTGTGTGTGTGTGTGTGGACACGTTTTAGCAAGGGATAAAGACAAAACTGCAATCAAACAACACACTAGAAATTTTTTTGCAAATGTTTTTCTTATTCCTGCAACTTACTAAAGCACACAATGTCTAATGCATCGTTATATGTGTTTCTGTTTTTATGCTAAAACTATTTTATGTTGCATTGTCGGAGAAGCCTGGGATTTTATGGTTTTTAAATCAGTGCAGAAGACAAAGCTTCTTTAGTAATGTTATAGAGAATAGCATTCATGCATTACTTTCCTTTATGCCTCTGTTGTGAATGGTGATTAACCCCAACCGTCTTCTCTCCTTTATGTCTTTTAGAGTTTGAGGCCTGCCGTCACCATGCTGCCTTACTTCCTGCTCCTCTGCCTCCACTCTGGTCTGGTGGTATCCTACGAATGCCCGGTTGACTGTTCCTGCCAGGGCCAGGCCTCCATCTTCTGCATTCAACGGCGCTCCAACGTCATGCCTCGTGTCCCCACCTCCATCTCAAATCTATACATCTTCCAGAACGGCATCGACTCTTTGTCCCAAGATGACTTCAAAGGCCTGGGGGAGACGGAGCTTCTAGATCTGAGCCAGAATCAGCTGGTGGAAATTCCAGACGGTGTGTTTGAGATGCTGTTGAAGCTGAAGAACTTAGACCTGTCCTCTAACCAGATCACACACATTTCCAAAGACAGTTTCTCTGGGTTGGTCCAGCTGGAGAGACTGTATCTTCATGCCAACCGTATTCAGAGCATCCATCCGGAGGCTTTTGACGGTTTAGAGATGCTGCTGGAACTCAAGCTCCAACGAAACCAGCTCACATCTCTGCCATCCCTTCAGTTCCCCAAACTTCTGCTGCTAGACCTCAGTCACAACACCATCCCAACCCTGGGACACTCAGACCTGCAGACCCCGCACCTGGAGGCCCTTAAGGTGTCTTCTGTTGGGCTCACCTCTCTGGATGAGGATCTCATAGCCTCTCTGGGAAACCTACATGAGCTCGACATCTCCACAAACCAGTTAACTGAGGTGCCCCCGGCTCTGCAGCAGGACTCCCTCAAGGGGCTGATCAAGCTCAGCCTGGCTGCCAACCCATTGGGTGATCTGAGGGTGGAGGACTTCCAGAAGCTGATCGGACTTCAAGAACTGGATCTAAGTGGTCTTAACCTCCAGGGATTTTCTCAGAGTTTCTTCCAGACCTTCCCCAGGCTGGTGCACCTGACAGTGGCTGAGAACCCGTTTAACTGCTTGTGTCCATTAGCTTGGTTCCCCGTCTGGCTTAAGGAGAAGAATGTGAATCTTGGGCGTCCTGAGGAAACCAGATGTCACTTCCCTTTGGTTAATGCCGGGAAGATGCTTTCAGCGCTGGAGCACAAAGATTTTGGGTGTCCACCTTCTACAACAGTGCTGATTGACTCCCCCATTGGAAGTACTCCTGTTCCCCAGGTGTCCACCACATTTCCAGAGACCATCCATACCAACGCCATACCGCCCCCTCCTCCACCCAGTGAGGCCACCATCTCCTCAAAAACAGACCGCCCCCATTCCCCAGAACCTCCAGTCTCTCCAAGCTCCACCAACAGGGAGGTAGGGGAGCACATCTGCCCACCAAACATCTGCCTCAATGGGGGCACTTGTAATTTTGACCCGTTAGGTCAACTCAGCTGTTTGTGTCCGTCGGGAACATTTGGCCTCTACTGTGAAAATGTGGAGGAGGTTCCTGAGCCCCCGAAACCTTCAGAGGTTTTGTTAGTCGCCCCTGTGATTCCTGTTGAACTGGATGCTATCAGCTCACGGCACGTCACCTCCACATCTATCCTTCTGGACCTGCACCGATTCATTCAGACACGGCCAGACATCCGGGGAATCCGGCTGACCTACCGTAACCTCTCAGGGCCTGACCGCCGCCCCATAATCCTGAGTGTACCGGCATCCTACCCTGAGTACACTTTGCGTGGTTTGCTACCCAACTGTACCTACTCAGTCTGTGCCAGTCCCCTGGAGGAAAGAATCAGCTCCAGGACCAACAGCTCTGTTGAAACAGGGTCATGTACGGAGGCTCGTACTGAAGGGATACCGCGGATGTCTACAGAGTCCAGGGTGGAGACCCAGAGCCCTCTGACATACACCCTCATCCCCGCCTTGGCTGCACTGGCGCTGGTGCTCGGGTTGGCCATCGTGGCCGGGACGATAATTTGTGTCCGAAAGAGGAGGCAGGCCAATGCGGGAATGGAGCTGGAGCTAGGCCCGGCAGATCCAGATCCAATGGAACTAGAGGGGACCAAGGCCTGCCTGGAGAATGGGGGAAATGGTATACTACCCCAAAAACAAACTGAGATTGACAGATGTCAAACTCCTCAGCCACCTCCATCCTTGCAACAAAATGGGGGTTTGGACTTTGAAGTACCCTTAATGCAAGGCCACTGCCCATCAAATAACAATATAGCGTCATTAAAGCCATCCTACTTCTAATATCCAACAAAATGCAAACACTGTGGGACTATGATGCAGTTTAAAGTCATCGAGCAGAGCTAACCAAGTGATTCAACTAAGTGCAATTGACTAGAAGGGTCTTAGTAGCAGACAGAAAACAGAAGTGCCTTTTTGCATCGACACAACTGTAACCAGTGGATTTTTCTCTTTGCTTGTATGAAAGAAACTATGTGAAGGAGCTGTAATCCTTTTTGCTGGATTTGTGAGAAAAGTGCCTCAAAGCCCAAAAGAGTTTGGGCTGCAGAACTGCCGGAAGTGACAGTGGTTTAAATAATGACAGAGATGCAGAGACCAAACGTCCCGGGACAAAACGGTTCATCGACCAACGCGAACCGCTCCATGGGAGTTATAAAAAGAACTTGCACTGAAAATAAATCTTTCTTTTCCTTTGTAGTGTCCACAGGACGGATGATGGTCACATAAAGAAATGCAATAATGCAAAAAAGGTTGCTGTGAAAAGCGGTCTAAAGATTGTGTGTAGCTGTGGACATTCTCAGATCAAACAAAACTATAATTCAAGCAACATTGGATTATTCAGTGTCTTCGGATTAACTATAATTCTCTCCACACGTCTTGAAGATTTTCTCTTTGGGGAGATTAATTTGCTGTGAAAGATAAATGGACTGAATGAAGAGCCATTGAAAAAGGACTTTGCCTGTAGCTTATACCATGATACCCTGTTTTGTTGTTTTTGTATTTCTATCCTGTTTTTTGCTGCCGATGTCCGTTCAGTATTGCTCTGGTTGTGAGTTAAAACATTACTAACTGTTCCCCTTGAAATAGCCTGCCAGTCATCATGGATTCTTTAATTGTGTATTTGCATCCTAGGGAAACTTTTAGCTAAAACCTTTTTTTTAGCTAAAAGCACTAAAAGAAACTAACATGTATCAAATATATACTAAAAAACATTCATTTAAAGATAAAACCAGAACACAAGTCATCTTTACATCATTTATAGAGGTTGTTAATTGCATGAGGTTCGACGAAGTGTGAATGTAGCTGCCATGAGTCGGTGACTTTGATTTTCTCTGCTGCATAAGAAAAGCCTCTGACTGTTTTTGACAAAGCTCCTAAATGTGTGTTCAAAGCCTTTCACCACAGAAGCCACTCCTATAAAGCTGCAGACACATGCCGAGAGATGAAAGCAAATTCAAAGAGCTCGAAGGAAATTAGCTGCGAGTGTGACTGAATTTTAGGCGATAGTTTCCTGGGTTGTTTCTGAGATATGATCTAGACGTTTGTTCTCACACACCACTCTCCGCCTCCTACCCGGCACTGCCTCGTGTGTTTGGATTGTTGCTTGTTTACAGCCAACCAGACTGTGAAATGCACAGGCTCAGTGTGCCGTTCTGATTCATTTGCTCTCTCTTTCCTGTCTGGTGCTGGGAACGTCACAAGATTTAAGTTTTTCCTTTAGAGAAAGAATCTTAAATTGCAAAAAAAAGGTTTACAGAGTGTCATATTACATGCTGATGTTTATTTCTAGAACAATCGTACGATGGTCGACGGGTGCAAACCCGTTAAAACGGGCCAAAACATTGCAATTGGAGAAATGCAATGCCCTTTCAAAAAATATGTAAATATAGAAAGTGCTGGGAGACCAGGGGACACTAAAGAGTGACGCACACAGCTGGAGACCAGGGGACACTAAAGAGTGGCGCACACAGCTGGGAGACCAGGGGACACTAAAGAGTGACGCACACAGCTGGGAGACCAGGGGAACTAAGAGGGGGGGACAACACTAAAGAGTGACGCACACAGCTGGGAGACCAGGGGACACTAAAGAGTGACGCACACAGCTGGAGACCAGGGGACACTAAAGAGTGATGCACACAGCTGGAGACCAGGGGACACTAAAGAGTGACGCACACAGCTGGAGACCAGGGGACACTAAAGAGTGGCGCACACAGCTGGGAGACCAGGGGACACTAAAGAGTGACGCACACAGCTGGGAGACCAGGGGACACTAAAGAGTGACGCACACAGCTGGAGACCAGGGGACACTAAAGAGTGGCGCACACAGCTGGGAGACCAGGGGACACTAAAGAGTGGCGCACACAGCTGGGAGACCAGGGGATACTAAAGAGTGACGCACACAGCTGGGAGACCAGGGGACACTAAAGAGTGACGCACACAGCTGGAGACCAGGGGACACTAAAGAGTGGCGCACACAGCTGGGAGACCAGGGGACACTAAAGAGTGACGCACACAGCTGGAGACCAGGGGACACTAAAGAGTGACGCACACAGCTGGAGACCAGGGGACACTAAAGAGTGATGCACACAGCTGGGAGACCAGGGGACACTAAAGAGTGACGCACACAGCAGAGTCAGTCGTCTTATAACTGTAAGTGTTGGTCAGTATATCTGAAATACCAGGTTAGCACCTGTCGGCCACCGTACTCTTCGCTAGAGAAATAATCTTAAATTGCAAAAAAAGTACAACAGGTTTACAGAGACGTGCCTTAGCAACATCACTGACATCTTGTAGTGTCATATTACATGCTGATGTGCATTTCTAGAACAAAAGGGCCTTTATTTCACCTCACAAGACTTTGATATTACATTACAAACAAAAAAATGAAGAAATATTAAATGTAATTTAATCAAAGTCTAAATTGATGTCCTAAAGTAACTGCAGGAAGTTGGACGACTGGGTTGTGTGTGTGTGTGTGTGTGTGTGTGTGTGTGTGTGTGTGTGTGTGTGTGTGTGTGTGTGTGTGTGTGTGTGTGTGTGTGTGTGTGTGTGTGTGTGTGTGTGTGTGTGTGTGTGTGTGTGTGTGTGTGTGTGTGTGTGTGTGTGTGTGTGTGTGTGTGTGTGTGTGTGTGTGTGTGTGTGTGTGTGTGTGTGTGTGTGTGTGTGTGTGTGTGTGTGTGTGTGTGTGTGTGTGTGTGTGTGTGTGTGTGTGTGTGTGTGTGTGTGTGTGTGTGTGTGTGTGTGTGTGTGTGTGTGTGTGTGTGTGTGTGTGTGTGTGTGTGCGTGCGCACTCCAGCCCTGTCCAACATCAACTCCTCATTCTTCTTCTCTGTCTCTCTTTCTGTCCAGTACAAACACAGACAGTATATCTTCTCTCCCTCGGCATATATCAACTGGAAGACTCTTTGTATTGCTTTGGACATTTAGAGGAACAGGAAATGTCTGAAATATTTTCAACTGATCCTTCCCTGTTTATTTAGGGAAACTTGTCTTTGTATTCTTATGTGTTTGTCAAATGCCAACAGGGCAATGCTGAGAGAAAATAGCAGTATTAAAACGATTTAAATGTTGAATCCAACTGTGATTGTGTGTCCTTGTGTTGTGTGCTTTTATGATTGTGCAGTAATGAACATGTTCTTGATTTTCCTCCTTGTGGATTTGAGGAATTTGGCCCATTACAGGCTGTGCTGGATGTCGTCACAGAGCAAACAGAAACACACAGAAAGGATTTCCAGTAACAACAGAAGCTGATTACACAGCAACTGTGTCTCTCAATACCTCATACACACACACACACACACACACACACACACACACACACACACACACACACACACACACACACCTCAACCACAACATGATTACTGTGTGACGTTATGTGGGTTTATGGATGGAGGTCATTTTCTGTATTTCTCCGTTAATGGTACAAACGGAACATAGCACAAAATAACACCATTTCCAAGTAAAAGACTAACATCTTATGAAAAGAGAAACTTCCTCTGGATTTTAGCCTTTGCAGACCATTGACATGCACTAAACCCTTTATAACACAGGAGAAGGAGCACCACAGGAAGCAGAATAGGGCCTCTTTAACTTCCAATTTCATTACTTACAGTTTTTAACACTTTCAAGTTGTTTTAAATATGCAACGGAGGTATTATGTGATGCTGACTTCTGGTGAAATTAGGGGAAATAAATACAAGTGATTTAAATGGAAGTGTGTATTTTGGATGTTCTCTTTCCTCTAGTCATGAAACAACAGTGTTTTCCTGTAGCGTCTCGCCTTAAGGATTTTTATTTAGTATAGTATTGATGTTTTAGCCTTTGCAGACCATTGACATGCACTCCACCACATAAGAGAATAGGGACTGTTTAACCCTCCTGTTGTCTTCGGGTCAAATCTGACCGATTCACTACTTTCATCAATCATAACTATTTTGTTTTACATTCGATTGCATTCAGGCTTCATGATATCCTTCACAGCAGACATTTGAACATATCAAAGGGCTGATCTCCACTTTCATTGCTATTTGGATGATTTAGTCAACTTTGTAACAACCATGGCGTTCCCAGTCTCCCACACCACACACACACACACACACACACACACACACACACACACACACACACACACACACACACACACAAGAACAAGATTAGGGTTGGGAACCGAAACTCGGTTCCAGATGAGAACCGATAAGAAAATGCCGGGTACCGGGTACCCGTACAAAATACACCTTTTCGGTTCTGCTTAACGGTTCCTAAACGCGGTAGACCCTGTATTCCAGCGGGTCCGTCTGTGCCGCGGTGACCCGGTGGAATACAGGGCGGACCTGGAGAATCACAGAACGGCCGGTCGTCAGCAGGCCGTTGACGGCCAGCTCGGTACGCTGATGGCCGGCACCGCCCTTAATTTTTTTAAACGGCATCATGTAAGTTGCGCTGACAGGCGACAGAGGTCCACAGTTGCCCCGCAGCGAGGCTCCCCCCGCCCTCCCGTAGACAGTTCACGAGCTCAGTCATTTCATAACACCAAAGATGGGTCGCGGTAAATGCTCTGAAGTGAGGCTCCACTACACTAAAAAATAAAAAGACAATTGGGCACAGTGTTAATAGCTTGCCACAGGCAAAGCTCAGTTAAAATAAAGCACAGCTATTGTGCAATACATTTGTATTGCATGTATATTTTTTATTTGTAACAATTTCAGTTAAAGCTGAAAAGAATAAAGATATTATCTAAACGTTTGACCTCTTTCTTTTACAATTTTGGAATCGAAACGGGGAATCGATAAGAACCGGAATTGATAAGCAGAACCGGAATCGGAATCGGAATCGATAAATTTCAAACGATACCCATCCCTACACAAGATGTGTTCCCCCCCCCTGAATGTGCCCCTCCCCCCACATGGATCACACCTGGCACACGTAATACATGTGCAGTGTCTGTTCTTTGTATATGTACTGCAGTTCTTCATGTATACCAGCAGTCTGATACAATATGTACAGTTTGAAAGGGTGTTAAATGAAATGTGGTGATTAATGGTTTTTGTTTTAATGTAATAGCAGTTAAAATAGGACCGGTCAAATGTTACCGCGAACACCAAAGTAAGGGGGGGGAACGAAGACAACAGGAGGGTTAATCAGTGCTTTGTGGCTGTTTGCTTTTAGGGGCTGGGGACAGCAGAGGGTGAAGTGAAAAGTCAAAAACTATATGAGAAGATAACAGTCTCTGGTACGTATAAATTACATGTTTTATTGATTGAACTCTTTACTTGAATAATGACAGAAATTATAAACATACCTTTTAGAGTTTTCCATGTCCTTCTATAACTCATGCGTGTTTAATGTTAATAATACGAAGATGGTAACATGTACGAACAAAACATTTGTTTTATTGTATATTTGCCTCTCTGTGAACATCAAGTCCACATTTGGTGACATTATGATCAGTATCTCCAGAGATACAGGGCCCCATCAGAGAGGCCTACATTTTCACTATTTTCGGTCATGGGCAGGCTCCAAACATCAACCATCCATCGAGCGGTGCAGTGACGAGTCCTAAAACCAGGAAGTGAGTCAGCATTTCTCCACTTCCTGTTCTCTGGTCTCAGAGCCAATGGGATCTCTCCACTTCCTGTTCCCTGGTCTCAGAGCCAATGGGATCTCTCCACTTCCTGTTCCCTGGTCTCAGAGCCAATGAGATCTCTCCACTTCCTGTTCCCTGGTCTCAGAGCCAATGGGATCTCTCCACTTCCTGTTCCCTGGTCTCAGAGCCAATGGGATCTCTCCACTTCCTGTTCCCTGGTCTCAGAGCCAATGGGATCTCTCCAGAGGATTTAGGAAAAGAGCTAGAAATAATGTCTGTGGAAAAGGAACCTGTTTGATAAATGCACGTTTTGTTCAGCCGGATAATCTCCACATGTCTACTTTTATAATGTTGAATCATAAATCTAATATCCAGAAGCTAAATGCTAACGTTATGCTATAAAGGAGCTACAGCGAGTCCAGCAGCACGACTTCAACGTCACGCCGACTTCAGATCCAGATTCAAACACACAGACTTATAGATGGAACGAGTTGAAGCGTTTGTTTGAACACTTTGCAGGAGGCAGGGACTTGCTTTCAAAGCAGAACAGAAACTAACTTAGAGGAGTGTTCACGTGTTCGGCGTAATGACGTACAACGGCCTCCACGACTTCTGTAGTCCTATTCAGCCACTTGGTAACAACCATCGTTTCTCAGACACGTCCACTCTTCAGAAATCACCAGTGGGGTCACTGCTGATGATTTAATGTCCTAGAACAAAACCTGATCCGTCTCTTCAACGTGTCTCAACCACAGACCTTAGTTCAGATAGTTTCCAACATCCTATGGAGAGATCCCATTGGCTCTGAGACGAGGGAACAGGAAGTGGAGACATGCTGACTCACTTCCTGGTTTTAGGACTCGTCACTGCACCGCTCTATTACATTAAGAAGACATATTAAAGTCATGGAA